CGACCAGTCATTCCAGGTGTCATACTGAGTTTGTTGCCATGGCTACTTAGGTAGGGGCCGTTAAAATGATGATGCCCATTTAATCAGGCATGTCAAATTAAATCGCCTGAAAGCTCTATAGAAATGCAGCTGCCCCATTTTCAGCTTAGATCCTCCTAAAGCGGCAGTCCATATGGTCTCGCCTTGTCCATTTGGTTTTGTATCCAGGCCGACTTCGAAAAACACCCAGAACTGTGTCTTCTGCCGGTGGTGTCGTATCCACTTGTAGCATCAAAGGAGTGATTGGTCACATTCCCAGACGTTTAGCCGGCACCATGGTCACCGGCGTCAGTGAACAGCGTCATTCCTAGCTCTGAGCTAAAAGTCGTCAAGAGGGCAAACAGAATCATTGCACTTGACCAATCTTCTGAACGATAGTTGTGATATTCATCCCCCTCCTCGAGTCAGTGCATTTACTTTCCAGAACGGCCTGAGGATGCAGCACTAGGAGATAAGCAATGTACATGGTCTAAGAAGGAAAAGAGAAATTGTAGATGGAACTAACTTCGTATTGTTATGTGGCCCGTTGCCAAGGCTGTCACTGCTCACTGAAGGTGCCGTAAGAATACATGATACGAAGTTGCGAAGTCGGGGTCAAACCAACTCTATGCTGTGAAATAAAATTGCGATCAAACCAAAAGCCACAACACCACTTTGGTCTTCGTATCTTTGATTCATAAAGCCAAGCTCACTTCGTGTGCCGATTTTCTTTCCATACCAACTGGTCTGATATCTTTAACAGTGCTCCATTTTTGATCTGATCCTGCGCGGCTAGCATGCATGCGCCTTGCATTCCTAACGCCCCTTGACTACGCCTCTGGATCGGACAAGTTGGCCATTTGTAAAACAGGCTGGCTGACGCTTTTGCACCTCTTCTTTCAATTCGGTGAGCCTAATTTGTGGAGCCGTCTGGTTGATCTCGCCATGTCTCTGAAGTACCGTTACCTGGATGGATCAATGTGCTAATAAATCAATGGGAGGTATTTCGGAGCCTCTACCTGCAACTTAGTAGGCACGCGCTTTCGTACAATTCGTACATATATTGGTATGAATAACTCCAGCTTGCTGGAAGGGCTCTGGAAACTGGCTGTGCTTGGCCTGAATATCTTTGCACATGTGAGCCAGCCGTCTCTAGGTGTGCTCATGCAGGTATCCACGTGCGCAAGTCTCCAGCATGATGCCAACCTGCTCTTCTCATACGTGCCTTGTCTTCTCTCAGCGCTGCAGACAACCTGTTTTGGAGCGCTCAGTGATACCAACTAGACTGGAGGTTGTTGACACATGTTTTACCGATTGTATCTACGTCGCTATGCAGCTGTACCGGCGTGTAGCCGGATTCTGTATGCGCCTGTCTGTACACATCTATCTTCCGCTCTGGCTGCGGCACAAGAGCGTGTTTGATCGGGTGGTGAATAGTTGGCCTAGCAGCACTCAAGGCAACCCGATTACTCGGTTCTAACTTACTCGGCGCACAAGGCCAGGTGACGAGTCTCTGGAAGCCAGAGATGGTCTAGCAGGATTAGTTGCTGGCTTTTGGTTATCGTTGCTAAGTGAAGCGGGTCACGCGGACGAGATTACGCCACATTCTACTTTTTCATACAAATCGGTAGCATTAAACGACAGGTTGGGTGTCCAATGGCCACCGTGGTTCACCCCAGTCTTTGCTGGACCTTTTTTTCATAATAGTACCAGTTTTACCGCTTAAATTCAACTAAAAATGTGTTTCGATTCGACCACGTGACCAGAAATCTTGCCAGCCTTGCTGGAACACTCTTGGTGAAAATGTATCCAGGGCAATCGGATTCGATTTCGCGGCAAACGTGCCAACCTTTTTCTTGTCTATTCTACGACGGACGTCATCATTGCAGAGTATCATTCCTACTAGCATATCCAACCTTAAAAGTCATAAAAACTAGTGGCAAGAATGATATATTCATATAAAGTAGGCTTTTAAACTATCAGTAAATCTTAAATAAGAGTTTCAATCACTAAAGGTAGTACAAGTTGGCGAAGGACTGATTGTTGAATCTGACCTTATTCATATAAATAGGCCTCAGCTTTCCATTGAATTTCATATAAATTTTCTTTCCAAATGGTATTCTCGTCCAGGCTGGACTGGACCGCGGTTTTGATCTTGCCAGCGTCTCACCTGCCACCCCAGACGGGACTCGAACCCGAGTAGTGCAACGTATTATCGCGACAAATTACCACACTGGAAGAGAATACCTTTAGGAAGGCAAAGCTGTGTGAAAATCAATTAAGATATGATGCCTATTCATATAATTGTGGAAAAATTTAACTTTTAGTTATTCATCACTATAATGGCGGAAAGACTTATTCAGGATTGACTCATTGTTTTGGGTTCCACTTTGGGGGAATACATCATCCTTACAACGATAGTCAAGCCAGTTTATCATGAAAATTAGTTAGTTTGAATACTGCGAGGCTGATGCGTGGTCGAAACTGCAGTCCACTCCAACCAGAGTGAGAACAACTTTTGGGAAAGCAAGATAATGTGAAATTCAATGGAAACGTCAGCTCTCCTCATATCATTGTGGGAAAATGCTACTACCAGTCGTTCATCAGCTTACACGAAATAGGCTGAAAATCTCTCATATTACGAATCTTAGCCGGTTCTTATGATTTCCGTTGCATGACAGATGGAAGCTTGGCACGTTTGCAACGAAAGCGAAAGTGATTGTCTCATAGAAAACGTCAACAGAGGAATCGACTGTTGTCTTCAGATGGGATCGACCTGCGATTCTATTGAACACTTACCTGAACTCGAAATGAAAGTGAGTTCATCACTTCTAAGTAAGGAGACTTCTTGAGACCCAACTTATCTTCGTATATTCCAATCTTACAGGCACTTTTCGGGTCCGAACTACGCTCCAGCCGGCTTGTACACATCCTCTTTCGCCACATACAATCCAAGTATCACTTCCCATCCCATCCCATCCCTTCGGTAGGCTGGGCGCATATCTTACAGCGTCTTCTTCTCGAGATCCGTCCTCTTTGCACCAGCCCCGTATGGCCGGATTGTCTACGGCCTGTCGGATGATCACCATTTTCAGATTAACCGCCCATGTAATGAGTAGGCCGGCCTGTTGCAGCAGTTCCCCGGGCTGTTGAGGCATATAGAGCGTAGGCTGCTAAAGGCAGAGTCAGAACAGACACATTTTGTCGAATTTTTCTGTACTCTTGATGACAAAGTCGTAAAGCTAAATGTTATCGGGACAACTTTGATGTGCCCTCGACCAGCCCAGTCCAGATGGCCTATTTTCCCAACTGCAGATTATCCTCTCTTTTAAATCAAATAAATATTAATCTTCCCGACTTTCGTCTAGCAAATCAGCCTTTAGGCCTTATATCCAAATCAGCCGCCAGGCATTTTCAACAACTTGTAGTCCAGATAATCTAGGGGCTTTCAGTGCTTGTCATGACGTTCACTCTGGTCCGGAGTTGTACCGACTTCATTGCATAGTACTCATGTTTGCCAAAGGTAATCAATGATGTAGATAAAATAAAACCTCTTGTCACTCCTGGATTTATCAATTCATAGATTCGCTAGATAAGTTCAATCTGACTTGGCTGAAAGGAGGAAAATCGACTTAAGAAAGGAGACTAGCCCACAGTGTAACCACTAACAGGGATCCTTCTTTTCCTTCTCTCCTTCGTTGTCTCGAAGTCTTCAGGCTCATGCAGCGGGTATCGTTTCCCAAATTAACAGCACTTTGCCCTCATGATTAGGCATTGGACATTAAGATTTGTTTCGATTACTTTATGTTGACTCGGCTGTTGACATCCCAACGATTCTTCCTCATTCCCCTCTCTCTCTCTCTCTTCATCTATCCATACTATTTTTCCGCGTTCTGAAATCCTACCTGTCATTGCATAGCCAAAACTTGCATGGAAGGGATTCGTTATCTGGTCTCAATGGTGGACAAAAATGCTCCGAAATTATTTGTAATACTTTACAAATATAAAGTTATTTACTAATGGGTAATCTGTCTAGGCCTCAAGATAGCCGTGATGCTGAACCATCTTTTATTTTATGAGATTGTATTCACCATTTTTGTTTAAGCTGATGAAGGACTGGTAGTAGAATTTTGTTTGAAAAGGCGAGTGGATGGGCTACTTAAATGTGACTCACCGGATATCGATGAAAGGTTGCCTTGTACTTGATTGTGGGAAGAAGCCCTCGGCTCACCGTGTTGCGACCCCGAGCGGACTTCGTCAGGGCTAGAAACTATAATTTACGAACAGTCAGAGAAAAACTCCAAACCACCCACCTCAACCGAAATGAAAGGTATGCCAGCATTAATCTATTAAAGAATTCTCTGAGATCCACTTACTCTTATGATTGCAGAGTTGTCTGCCAAAAAGCCTTTTCCCCCACGATTGACTACAATCTCGACCCCGACTCACTGTCTCATCAGCCCTCACAACGGAATTCGAAACTAGATCGTACAGATCAGAGGTCATGGCAACACGATTTGAATTGAGTCTGGTTGGTGCTTTCCCACCTTACATGACTTTAACGTTGCATACATACAATACACAATACCATATATCTAAAGAGGTGTCAACATTAAAGGAAAGGAATTAGCTACAACCACATATAATTCCTATTTAGTCGAATTCCTTTTTTTCCCCTGCCTGACAGTCTGAAATGGCCAACCCGATCATAAAATGCCTCAGCAAGATAGCAAAACTAAGTGTAAGAAGTGATTAGCCTTAAAGCTGGCCATCTATTCTCCTAGTTTAGTACACTCGTAAGAAGTATCGTAAAGTATGGTTTCTCGCTCCAACGACGCCTGTCACCTTGAGACGGATGCAAACTGAGTAAGTGTTCATCGGTGGCGCAGGACGATGAGCCGAGGGCTCTTCGCATAATCTAATATTCTTTTCTTCAAGGTTTTCCTACTTCAGTTTACGCTAAGGTCAATCAACCAATATTTCCCTCGGATTGGGTCTGTTAACGTGTGATGCCCAATCTTCAAAAGTCGGATTCACTTCTACGAAATTCCTCGCTTCTTCTTAGGATGGTCGCCCCCAAGCCATTCACGTTGCCATGCTGAAGCTTCAATTGAACTCCTATTTTATAAGTCTCATTATAGTCAGCTCACACTACATCTTTGTTTGTTTCCAACCGTCCAACCTTACTCCAAACGCCACCTCGGTCCCTTTTGCTTTGGCAACCCAACATATCACGAGCTGTCCACAGACTCGAGCTTGCACCACGTAGCGGACTAAGCCTAAAATCCAGTCCCTCGGTCAGCAGCTTCTCGACTCTCGAGAGTTCAGTCCTATCGAGACGGTGATGACTCCGCTTCTTAATCACACTCACATGCACACACAAAGACAGTCATACTTAGTCTTATTAACACCTGCCTTTGAAGCTGTCTAAGCTGAATCCGAGAGGTGGGATGAAATTTGCAAGCAAGTAAATCGGGACGATGGTCCATTGCAACGGCGCTTATTATTGGTCGGTTGTACTGTCACTCACCAAGTTGAGGCCCACTCAGAAAAACCAAGCGTTAGCATACTTTTTTCTGACCCTCATGGATCCAAAGTATGAATTTACTCACATGCAAATGCATACACGTGCACATATTCATGCATAGGCTGCCATTATTCTTCCCCAACCGGACTCAACTTACATTTGTTCCGATTCGGACATTATTCACCACCTACAAAACCCGACCAGCTTAATAGACAGACTGCGGTGCAGACAACCCGCTCATTTTCGCCTACATGGTCCTCGAGGTACAGTTATGATTGAGATTTGATGATTAAGGCAAAATATCTTTTTTAACTTGGACCCGTGGTTATCGCTCACTTCCATCCGTCTCCTCGCTTGTCTTCATCGTCCTCCCCATGGCCTACTGTAGCCCTTTTTCTCCGCCCCACCTCACTGTTTCCCTTCGTCAAGACCTTGGCCGTCCGCATCCAGCTCATGAACACCACTATGTCCAGACATGTTTTCTTCTGTTTTGCATGTCGTTGTCTTTTTGGAAAATTCTTTACCTTTTATTCAACTTTCTTTGCGTTTCTTCACAACAATAGCCTGCTTCATTTGCTTAGGCGATTAGAAATACCGGTTGAAATGCTAAAAAATACCATCTTGGTGTTCGACTGAATAATTTTATCTAGTGGCTAGCAGTGGAGACAAACTTGAAAAATACATATTCCGGCTTTTTTAGTCAAAACTTCATTCACTGATGGCCTGTGCGAAATGAGTTGGACTGCGTTGTCTAATTAAAATGCGCCGGGCGCTTTGTCCTCCAACAGAACATTTCATCTCATTGCCAAGACAATCTCGCTATTTGGAATTTTTTCCATTCTAGACTAGCCCTACTACTGAATCGCCCTTTAACCGTAAAGGAGCCACCTTTGTCGGGATGACGAAGTTTTCCCATTGCCTCAACGAACATTTCCCCACAAAAGGATAGATAAAGCCTCCATTAATTCTTTTCCATGTTTGTTTAAATGAAGCCTATGGCTTGAAGTTCCGACTAAGGGAACACGGAGATTTAAAGCCATTTAGGCAATTTTGTTTCGCTGAATTTTCAAACAATACATCTTCAAGTGTTGGTTCGACCTCGTTTTCGCAACTTGGTCGGAGCGTCGGGGAGACCTCGTGGAACAGACCTAGTTCTGTGTCCTCTGCCATAGAATTTGTGAGTTCCAGCATCTGATCATTGACTTGGTATATTTCGAAACCTTTCGCCGGCATCGTCAGTGAGAGGCTTCATCGTTAGCACAGAGTTGCAACTTATCATTTGTCACTTCGATAAGTTGTAACTCTGTGCTAATGATGGCGTCTTTCAATGATGATGCCGACTACGATGTGGGCAAAACGTTTCGGAATGTACCAAGTCAATGGTCCGCTGCTGGAAATCACGAATACTCTGGCAGAGGACGCAGGACTAGGTACGTTCCACAAGGTCTTCCTGACACTCCGACCAAGCTGCGAAAACAAGGTCGAACCAACACTATAAGGTTAAAGGAGACTGCGACCAAACCGAAGGCCGTATCATCTGGGTCGTCATAGTTACGATCAAATTATATATTTAAGCCTGTTGTATTTCCACTCCCATATCAAAAGTGTGCAGACTATCTTAATCAAGCAAGTGAATGAAAATTTTTTTGATGCCAACTTCTGTAATTCAGAAGACTATGTCTGTAGAATGGCTAAGTTGACTTTTCGAGGGATAGGGAGCCAATTAATCCACTTTACCATTTATTTTGTATTAATTAAGAAATAAATACTGCTTTCATGTTCGCAGGCCACATGGACCAAAAGAAGCTATCCAAGTTCCCGATGCAGCGGATGACTTTTCCGATACTATACAAGGTTTTATCGGAAATCTGTTTGTATTGTTGCTCCAGTGCACACACTAGAGCTCAGAATGTAATCGCGCATTCGATATATGAGGGTGGGAGAAGATA